TAAAAATATATTGAAAAGTTATTTAAGAGAGCTTAGGAGAAGTTTGATTATTATTTTTTTGTTGTTCTTATTGGCAACAGTTTGTTAAAAAAATTCAGTGGTAATGTAATATACTGTTTAAAACATGTTAACTTTTACTCAATACTTTTACTTTTAATACTTAAGTACATTTTATATCAGAAATGTACTTTGATACTTAAGTACAATAAGTATTGATACTTTAAAACATTTACTCAATATTTTTAGAGTAGACTTTAACTTTTACCGAAGTCATTTAATGGTAAGATGCTTATACTTTTACTCGAGTATAGCTTTGAGGTACTTTATACAAGACTTGTCATTTTATTTACTCATTCGTTGTTATTCAAGATGTTTTGCTTTAATAGGTAGGACTAATCTATGTCAGTTTTGTAATTTATTGGTGCAAATTGTTGAACAGTTGGTCAGTGTGATCTACAGCTACAATATAATACAACTAAATATTAGATGGACAGCAATCTTTTGAATTTGTGGATTTGTGGTAGCTGCAACATCAATTACACAACATCCAGCTTTTGATCTCTTAAATCGTGTGCCTTTGACTTCCCAGGTTGCGGACCAGAGGACGTTTATCTGGAGTTGTTGCTGTTTGATGATATATTATGTAAAAGGAAAGTCATGGAAATGTCACCACCACCACCACACTTTAAAGAGCTTTAATGTGTAAGGTTACAGTTGTCTCTCCCATTAGGCCTCTGTAATTGGATGTGTTGGGCTAGAACTTAATGGCATCTGTCTGTGTGTCTTGCTTAACTGCAGAGGAAGAGAATATCATGGGTTTTGTGGGTGTAGCTCATGGCCTTTTCCCATGGGCTCAAATTGGCCCTTCTCTGGTTGACTGGATGCAGGTTGAGTCTTTACATTGTGTGTCTGACTGTATAAATGCATTTCTGTATGTATCTGTCTGTTTTTATCTGTCTGCATTTTTGTCTGTCTGTCCGTCATATTTGGTGCCTACCATTAACAAAGTAAAGCGATGTTATTAGTCAATTATATGGATATTGTGCTACAATTTGATGTGATTGTAGCTGATACCAGTCCCTAATACATACTGTGGCAGCTAAGATATCCTGTTTTAGTTTGGAACTTAGATGTAATATTTTGGGTGTAATATTTTTTTTTGCAAAACATCACATTAACCCCTGACTCAATTTTAGTTAAACTTTCAGAAAGTAATATTTGGACGCATGTGTAGGGACTACCATTCAGCTGGATTTTGATTTTTTATCAGTTAGCAACGTTTGTGCCTTAAAATTCACAGAGATGAGTCTCATGAATTTTGGACTTCCTCAAGACTGTCCTGGTCAAAGACTGTTGCTTCCTTCCTCCACAGATGTCGAAAAAAATTCCTTGTCTCCAAAAAGGACCAGACTTTATTCAGTTGACTGAATTTAAGAACTGAACATTTTATATTGTTTGGATGTGAAAAAAAATAAAAACCTTGTGTTTCAAGGTATCACCTTGTGCGTTTTGACTCCCACCACCCACTGGAACACAAGTTAGGAGTGATCAGGACTCTGTACCACAGAGCAGACAKTGTCCCTACAAACCCAGGAGCCAGGCAGAAAGAGAAATCGCACAMACGACAGGACCTGGAGCAGTGTGGTTATCCTGACTGGGCTTTCCTGAAAGCAGACAGGAAACACAGACAGGATTCCATGCAACCTTCAGGTGAAAATGAAGACCCCAAACCCAGACCCAAACCAGTGGTTATTCCGTATGTTGCGGGTGTTTCGGAGAAACTGAGACGTTTATTTTCTAAACATGATGTCCCAGTGGCTTTCAAACCCCAAAACACATTACAGCAAAGGCTGGTTCACCCCAAAGATCCGGTGCCCCGGCACAAACAGAGCAATGTTGTATATGCTGTTAAGTGCCAGGAGGACTGCGACCAGTTATACATCGGGGAAACAAAGCAACCACTGTTCAAAAGAATGTCCCAACACAGACGAGCTAATTCTAATGGCCAGAACTCTGCAGTTTTCACTCATTTACAGGCCAGCGGTCACTCTTTCAGAGATGAGGATGTTCTCAGTCTTGATAGAGAGGAACACTGGTTTGAGAGGGGAGTAAAATAAGCTATTTTTGTGAAGAAAGACCGTCCATCATTAAACAGAGGTGGAGGCCTCCGTTTTCAGTTGCCCCCCTCCTACAGTGCGGCTAATGCCAGTATCACTCCACCCCCTGTTAACAATAAGTGTTAATTAGGTGTCAATGACAGCCATGTGATGTGAGTATCAGTCACRTGGAGGCAGGGCTTAAAAGCCTGAATTTTGCCTGAAACTCTCTGACTGAAGAAGTCTCTTGGAGGAGAGACGAAATGTTTCATTAGAGAAGAACCCGTCCAGAAGACCTATATAATTTTTTCCTCTTGTGTATCAAATTCTCTATTGTTTTGTCTGGTAATCTGCAAAGAAATGTGATTTAACATATTTTCTTCCAGATCCAAGATGCCTGAGATTCACTAAGTTTTCTTTATCTTAATCATTTAATCACACACAAAGTTCTTTTAAATGTAGCCTGTATTATCAGTTTTCAGGTGAAATGTCCCCTGACAAGATGTTACTTTATTCCAGGATTCAACAGTTGTTTTCCTGTTTATCTAAACAATGCTTTATTTTATCCATATATTTAATCAATGTAGAAACTTTAGGATTGATTTTAATAATTAAATGTGTAACAGTTTTCTTTTGGGATAATTGTTTACTATTTTCTGGTTAAAATTAAGTTAAACAGCTAAACCTTAGAACTTAAATCCGTTAAAGTTATTTTAAAGAAAGATTAAACTTTCCTCCTGCTCTGAGACAAACCTAGGTTTAACCAAAACCCATCTTTTTAATTAGATGCTAAAGAATGTAAAATAAATACTCCCATTTTCTTTGTCTGTAGAAGACAACTTTTTCCTCCAAAAAGCTGATTCATTAAAACACTTAAGTTGACACCCCTGTTTTGACGTGTAAAATTTTAATTAGACAAACACACGACTAAGTCCGTCCAACCAAAGCCTTCAAGAGTTAGCCTGCGCTACCAATCTGGGGTTCAGCTAGCTTCATCTCTGCTCTTCTCAGCTCCAAGCAAGCCTTTTCTCCTCCTCAATTCCAGGCCACCTTGGTCCTGACAGCCACCCTCATGGCTCTGCAGGACTCAGGCCTCCTCTTCCTCCAGCCCGGCTGGACCTGCTCGTTGCAGTTTTGACGTAATTTCTTTAGGAAACTAACAACTAAGAAGCTTTCCTCTTTCATATTCCCGCAGCTTCACAGTGCTCTAAACAGTCCGGACGCTAAGCTTCCACAGAGTTCAACAGTGAAGCAAAGATTGCAGCGAAACAAGACGAGTCATTGGTTAATGCTGGGCTTTGTCCCGCCCACGGATGCTCAGCGTCTCTGGGGGTCTATGGGGCAGTGGACTGGCCTTGGCCGGCCCGGATGCTCAGCTACTGCATGATGATTGGATGATCTGTTGGAGGCTGAATCCCTTTTTGATTGACAGTGAAATGAGCAAATCAGCGATCTTTTGGTGTAAGTGGGAGCATTTTTTTTAGTTTCATTCTGTTCTGAGTTGAACCAAAGACTTTCCTTAGCAGCATTATCTTTGTTAAAAATGACTAGCAACAAATTGAGCCTCTGTTTCTGGTGGGTTTTTTTATGTAGCTGCTTGTGTTTGGAGACTGACTTCTATCACTCTTTCTGACTTCAATCAGTTTCTGTCCAGCGGGTGCTGCTGAGCCCCTCCACCGTCACAAAGCACTAACAGATGGACACACTTCAGGGTAGAATTTACGTGTAAATAAACCGACACATTTTATAATGTAGGCTGAAAATGAGCTTCCCCTCCTTGAAAGACCAGCATCTGCTGCTGATGTGTACTGTGTATGGTGCATTTGACACATGATGGAAGTAAGAGTTTTTGAACATTAAGTCTTCTAAGCATGAACATAAACAGTGAAGATCATCGACCCAAAGAGGTTCAACATTTTACACTTGACGATTTATGAAGCCAAGGCGTAAATTCAGACTGGAAGACTCTCTCCACCTCACCTGCTCCATCCAATCACTGCGTCACACTCCCAGCTGCAGTCAATCGGCGTCAGATCCTCGCCTCACCGTACCAATCAACTCACAGGGATCCAGGTCTAAAGGCCCAGCACCCAAGGATCAGTCTGCTCTCCTGACTCATTCAACCCACCTCCACCCCTTCTCCACCTTCATCTCAGACTCTTCCTGGCTACCCCTTCCCTCTGGCCTCCCCACCACCACCAGTGTCCAAGCCCCGGGGGGAAGACGTTATTCTTAAATCCTAAGCTGATTGCTAATTCACAGTAGTTCACTGCACCCATGTCTTCTGCCGGGGCTCGAGCGCCAAAGAACTTTCTCATATCAATAAAACTGTTTAACTGCCGTGTTTCTGTGTGTGAGTCTTTCCAGGTTGAAATGCAGATGATGCAGGCAGAACACTAGTGATAGAGTTTGTTGGTAATTTGCATGTTACATCTTATGAACAGAAGAATTAACTTTGAGATGAAAGGAGTTTTCAAAAATGTGAAACTGCAAAGCCTCAAAAATGTGATACTGCAAAGCCTCAAGTGATTATTTGTTGCTTTTAGCTTCTTCTGCAGTTGTGTTCTTTCTTTACTTTCTATCTATTCAGTTTAATTTAAGAATTAAAATGTCCTTCTAAATATTTTCTCCTTAACAGTTTCCAAGTCACGTGGATTGATGGAGTGCTGAGGAGACAAGAGACACAAAATATACAAGTTAGATTAGCTTTATGAGGAAGTCACCAATTAGTGTTTTGCAATTTAGGAGTTAAAAAACACAAAAACAGCAACCAAAAGCCCCAATCTGAAAATATCTAATCGTCCAACAACCGTCATAAATTTTATTTAACAGCCCCAAAGTGGGCTTCTCTCATTGTGTGTGTTTATGGTTAAATTTTCTCTTATGTATTATTTGTTTGTTCAGATTCATCTTTGTCGAAGACGAGCCCCTGCTCCGATGCAGGAAAACCCTGTAACCCCTGTCTGGATGCAACAAAAGCTTGTAACCTTAATGAGACCTGTAAACGCCTGCGATCTGCCTACAACTCCGTCTGCAGCAAGGCCACACCCCCACAGCTCTCTGTGGCCAATCAGGAGCCATGCAGCAAGAAGAGGTGTCAGAAGGTACGCACACTGATTTTTAAGAATCAACTCTGAAATGTAACCTCACTTAGGAAACTGTGTTTAATATTGACACTGATGACAATGGAAACTGACAGAAATCTTTAGTTTGTGTAAAAAGGTGCTCACTTGTCACACTGCAAATGTTTAAAACAGTATTTGTACGTTTTGTAAGTGACTGTAGTTAAAAATAGCTGACCTTAGTGAGCTAAAGCTGTTGATTGACAGGAAACATGACACCTTTAAGAAAGGGGTTAAGAATTTGGGAGTGAGATATTTGTGAGTTTCAAAAGGGAAAGACACAAAAATACCAGAAAGAAATCAAAGCGTCAAAGTGATAAAATGAAGGCAGTTTTTTTTAAACAACTAAGGCACAACAGAATAAATATAAAACAAAATAAAATACGAGTTAGCGAAGGTGATCAATCTAAGAAACCAGCTATATAAAATGGTAAACCACAATTAGGAGCTAAACAAACAAACAAAAAATGGTTAAATAGGTTTAAGAGATTGGATGAAAGTGATATCCGTTGAAAAATCACCCATTCGAATTAATCAAGGAGATGATTCTGCAGCTTTATCTTAGTGTTGGTCCAATGACGTGTAAATAGATGGCTGAACAAAGAAAACAAGGATATTTCCACAATAAATTATTTGAGTGTGTCTCATATCAGGGGATGTATCCTTCTTAGTGCGCAATTGTCGGCTGCTTGCATCACTGCCCTGTGCTGAGGGCTGTCCCAATTCGTGAGCTCCTTCTCATGCAGCCGACAAATGCAGCCCACAAAATCCCCAAAATGAAGGTTGCATCTGAGTGTCCTTCCCTTTTTAAACAAGTCGGCGTAGTGTGGAAATGTACCATGGAACATGTAACAAGAATTTATTTTTAAATGTAAGTTTAGCTACTTAACTGACTAAATTTATGCTGTAATAAAATGTTAAAAATAATGCAACTACTAGTAGACTTACTAATAGTGGGGTTAAACGCAAATTATTAATGTATTTTTTATATTTACATGTAACATTCTAATTATAAAGGTGCTTTATTTGTCATCAGTGTATGTTTCCACACAATGACGAAATTGTGTGTGAACCCATCCACACCCAAGTGGAGCAGCGGGCAGCCATGTGAGGCGCCCGGGGAGCAGTGAGGGTTAGGTGYCTTGCTCAAGGACACCACGACATGTGGGTATGGCGGGGAGTCGAACCTAAGACTTTTCGGGTCCCAAGCCGGCTGCTCTACCACTACACCACAGCCGCCACCGTTATGAAGTTATACCTCCTGTGAAAAGACATGTGAATACATATTCCAGTGCATTTCAAGTCTGAAGATATGATAAAAACATAATATCACGGAAACAGGGTAGCGTGTGGTAACGCAAACATACATCATCCAAAGGCTCGACCATTTTATTTCACAGCAGTTTTATGCAGCCTACCTGGCCCATGTAGGCTGTGGCCTCTGTGGGCCTAAGTCTAGAAAGCTGGAGCCCCTGAATTGAGACACAAGCCGTGTTTCCATCCAATTTTATTTCGAATTTTGAGCGAACTTTTAAAATGTTGCAAAATAAAAAAGCTGTAGAGTGGAAGTTAAATACACTGCTGATGTTACTAATCAAACATTTCTACAATGTTGTTCCTGTGTGTCTCAGGCCCTGCGTCAGTTCTTTGAGCGTGTCTCATGGGAGCTCAGCTACCCGCTGCTGTTCTGCTCCTGCCAGGACCAGGCATGTGCTGAACGCCGCCGCCGCACCATCGTCCCGTCCTGCTCCCACCAGGAGAGGCACAAACCCAACTGCCTGGAGCTGCGGCACACCTGCCGCTCCGATGCCCTGTGCAGGTGAGCAGCACTCGGGAGCCTATCAGGCGTGAGCTGCTGTCATTTTCGCACATGCTCACTTCTTTTTTTTTTAGTCTGATGCATCCTGTTCCACTGATTATGATCAAAGCTTGAGAGGAACTAATCAGCAAAATCAGAAGGCAAAGAGCTTAATTGCAGAGAAATCTTCCAGACTCTCAGGTCAAGTTTGCACATTTGATAACTATTTTAGAGGTTAGAGAGATTTCAAATAAGGGGCAGTGAAAGAAATAAAACTATCCCTCCCCACCTCCTCGAGTGATGACAGTCAAGGTGCCCTTGAACAGAGCAGCGAGGAAGAACAGGTAGGAAGAAGTTACACGCAAGCACCTGAAAGCCTGGACGGTTTTGAAAATGAAGAGCATATTTCTGTTTACCTACACTTTGATGTTTAAATGCTATTTTCATTTGGAGAGATTTGGCAGACAGTAAACAGCTGCAGAGAACGCAGACAGTTGCAGTAAACAACCAGAAATAATGGCATGAATACCAAATGTAGTGAGAACAATTTGCCTTTAACTCAGCAGCAGTTTTCCCCGAGATATTCAGCAGGTAGCTTCTTTCAAGCAGTTATATCAGTAGAAACATTTCTGAACGTGGTGGGGCTGTTGGAAGAAAATGAAAACAAACAAACAAATAAAT